ACTCGGACTCTGAGCTGATGACCACCATGCCAACGTAAGGAGAGTAACTCAATCAGAGAGGCTCACCCGACTGTCGCTTTTTTGCCCCGGTCTGCCTAGCCGGTCGGATACAAGGCTGCGCTTGACAACAACTTCAGTCAGGCCGGGCATGTCCAGGGACGTCCCGTCACAATGCGAGGTGCATGCTCGGAAGGGGTCTAAAGGGGACACCCAGATGAGCTCGTGCCGTTGTGGGTAGGAAGTGTCGGGCAACGAGCCTGTGCGGAACGCCAAGCCAGTGCCCGAGCCAAAGGAGGCGCCAAAGGGGTGAACTCCACTGCATGTTTACACCATGTCCAAAACGCGCGCAGCAAGCCTTTGCGAAGCTGCCAGGCATCTTTCGCAAAGAAGGCTTCCAAGTTTGGGAACTTCAAGCTCCTCAAGGCAGTTCAGGACGCTCTTAGAATGCACGCATTGGGTCCATGCAGGTACTCACGTCATTTTCAGTGTCGGTGGTAACTTGGACTCGCGAGCTGAAGACTCTCTGGCGCACGACTCTGCCGAGAGGCTCTGAAATGATTCAAGTCTTTGCACACTGCCGTCCGGCAGCTAAGGCAAGTCTCAGAGTGGCTGAACGACCAAAGCATCCCCTGCCGCTGTTAACCACATGCTTGTCAGCAGGACATGGTGAAGATGCGTGGGAGCAGCAAGCGAGATGGTGTCAAAAAGATGAGCAGCTCTGGTCGAATAATCGGTTAGCATGAGACATATGCAGCAAATCGTAAGAGAGTGTGCATCTATTCTCAGCTCAGTGCGAGAACCAGTCGCAAGAGCATAACTAGTAACTTCTTGCCTACGGGCTCCTGTCGCAAAGGGGCCACAGGCCACGCCTTTCCTGTTCCGCGCCAGCCGATCCGGAAGGTTGACGAGGCACAGTGGGGAGCAGCTGTCGGAGGGCTGTCAGCGCTCATGGCGAGGACGCGTACGACAGCGACGAGGAAGGCTTGGACCTGGACCCGCGGGGCTATGCAACTGCCGCTCTCAGATCCCATTGCTTCCTTGATTGAAGTCGCTCCCAAGTCGAACGGCATGACTGGTGTCCAATGCAACCGTTCGCTCGTAGACATGACTCAGAAGATCTCAGCGGTGTCGGGGAGGTGCCTTCGAAACAGATCTCAGAAGCAGTCAATGTACATCTTTTCGGTTGGCAGGACTCCGATGATGACACCGTCTGCCTGCCTCACAGCGTGGTTCCTGCAGATACATCTTCCAAAGCTTACGTTGGGAGAAATGCTCCCTGCAAGCAGCTTCAGTCTGTTGGCGAGTGCTTTCAAGCTTGGGGGCCGCTTTCGCGCCCGTGCACTGCAACGAGTCGGTGTGTTGAGGTTTCAGGCCGAACTAAGAGGCTTTCCAGGTCGCTCTCGAGTTTCTCCCGCTTTCCAGGGCCATGCGCTGCCCTGCTCCAATCGCTCTGCGAGTAGAGGTGCGGGACTGGTGCTTCAACAGTTACAAGCAGAGAAGCTCTGTACGTTAGTATCTCCAGCCTCTCCAGAATATTGACCAGCGTATCAGCCAGTGCTCTCCAGGCACGTGGAAATGACTAGTCTGCAATCGAAGTGAGACCCTGCTCTGTCTAGACGCTCCAAGTTGGATGGACTGCATCGGCAGGTAAAGTCACGCCAGTGGTCAGCTTCACTTCCGGCTTCTGAGGAAGGCGCAGGTACGACTTGCACAAAGATGATACATTTCATGAAAGAAGCAAGCTGTTATTGTTGAGAACGGCTTTGCCTTCCTCGGGGCACTGAGCAAAGGCAACCCACCCGGGGAGGAACCAGGGCAAGTAAGCTTGGTTCAATCCCTAGAGGTTGGGACGTCCTTGCATCAGGGATTTTTGGACATTTCCTCGAAATGCGGCATTCCAGGCCGTGTCAACCCTAGAGCTGTACACGCCCGTGGGTGACATGCCTGCGCTTTCTGGGTTGGCCTCGCAGCATGTCGATTTCTGCTTGGAGAGCAGCGGTGTGCTGGTTGTGCGAACCTGTATGATGGAGCTGCGCTACTTCCATTGCGTTGCTTAGACGCTGTCGATGTGGTTTGTAGGACAGAAGACGAGGACTTTCCTAGCTGCTCGAGCAGCGCATCCGTAGTCCAGACTCTTTCGCTTCCCATGTCACGTTGATGTGCCCCAATCGGGCTTTCCTGTGACACTGTGCATTTAGCGCGGCACGTCTCGGACTAGGCTTATTTTCTGGGCTGCCTCCATGTTATGATGTGCAAGTTCCCACGCAAAACTCAGAAGCCTCTCATGTCTCCTAGAACAGGCCAGCTACTGTAAGCCTGTAAGCGCCTGGATTTTTCAGCCCGTGTCCGATCACTCTTGTGACATAGTAGTCAGTAGTCGAGTCTTTCAACTGCTTGGTTTGGAGATTTCTGTGCCCTCCATGACCCGGCTGGACTGGATTCACGGCTACAATACAGGAGAGTGGTACGGTTGCGCTGGGCCCCGTTCGACTCGATCGGTGCAAAGAGCCCGCTTGTGGATCTAAGGAGGTCTAGCAAAGCACTCGCTGGTCATGGTCAAACCATTCTGGTGCCTTGTCCTGCAAACTCGTGTCTGTGTGCACCTGTGAGCTGCATCTGTGGAATAGGATGCCATCAGAGGCTTGGAAGCTTTCGAAAGTTTCATCAGCCTCGTTACCTCAGCCGGAATACAGTAGAACTCAGTAGGGGCTACTGATGGAATCGGCAGATACGGCTGCATCTGTTGGTCTGATGCATCGACTCCTGAGGTATGGAATGTGGCTACAGAAAGCGCTGCACCCGGCTACGCGAGCCATATTACCGACACATGTTCTGCCTAATGTGGTTTAGAGAATACAGCTAGAGGTTTATAAGCTTTTTCGCGGCTCGTGCGAAAGACTGGCCCACAGTATCCTCGCCACAGTGCCTGTCGACACGATCCGCCCCGTTAAGCCAACGTTCCGTTCTATCATTGCTGTCAGACGTGCAGCCAGCTGATCAGACTTTGTGCCAGATGCGAGGATGATGTGGGCTTTGCATAGCAGAGCAGAGCCAGCAGTGCTCTTGAGGAGTTAGTTTTGCAGGCTGAAGCTGCAGCATTGCTGACGTCTCCAGGATGACTCGATCAAGTGTTTCCAGGCTCTCTTGAACTTCAGCCTGCTTCACCCTGAACTTCACAGACGGATTATGCGGTATGGTTCGTGGCCCCGTCGACCCTGTCGGTACGTAGGCATAGGGGGGGTGTAATTTCTGGGACGGAGGCCGCGAGTTGTGGGCCGATCCGGCAGCAAAGGTCCCTCCGAAGCGCTCGGAGCCCTTTGAAGCTTTGTATTTCGTTTGAGCATTTCCAGTTTTCTTGCATGAGCTTTAGGGACATCCTAAACGCTCCGCCTTTAGAGGCGTGGTAGCTATGAGACCCGATACAGCATTGGTGCCAAGCATATGTTGTCGGTCTGTCTGCCGATCTATCAAATTGCTTTGCTTGATAAGCTGGCATAAGGTTGACTGATTGCTTCAACTTCAGGCACTTTTAGGTCTCAGCGCTGCCAATGCCTTGCCTTGTTTTCGCAAACCGTGACCACTCAGGCGGTCCACCTATGGACTGTCGGATGGTGTAGCATTTTTGCGGCAGAAATTGACAGGGACACTTGTGTTCCGCACGCTGCCGATCATATAGCACATGGAAGTTGGGCCATGATCTCTCGAAGAAGCACCTGCTAGTGGAGGCAAACGAGCCAGCCCGAATTGCTGCGCACTCTCCTTCTCCTGCATCCCCAACCCCGGATGCCCGAACAGGCCTGACGTCACTCATGCTTCCAGGGGTCGGCTAAGCTCGAACCATTCCTGCCGTTGCAGTGCCAATGCGCCGAAGGCAAGAAGACTTGCGGAAGGGCAGCGGTGTCGGTTGTGGCGCCTGTGGGGGGATGTGATGGGACTTTCAGATTTCGATGCACGTTTGGTGGCGACAACAGGGCATATGCGCCGCTGCAGGACTGGCAACGTCCCAACCATACTTGTTTGCAGTATGAAAACCTTCGCACGGACACGGGACAGCCAGGTTGAACCGACAAAAACGCCGATAAATTCCCGGATGTCCATGCAACTCTGTGCAGCAGTCCCCGTGCTCGGCCTCTTGCTCCCATCACGGTCTCGCGAATCTCCCAGCCTCCAATCACAGTATGTAGACCCTGATGGAACCCTTTTCGACGTTGGATCTGATGATCCTGTCTGAGTTTTTCGTCTTTCTAGTTCTGCCCATCTGCCGGGGAGCACCCAAGACTCAATCTCAAAACGAGGAAGACTTCTTTCTTTGTTAGAGCGGCCGTTGTGCCAGACAGAATGACGCAGGCACGCGTCACGCGGTTAATAGCAGTTCATCGCGTTCCTACGAATCAGAGTGCGAGCAAAGAAGGAGGTTCAGAGAATCCCGACTCAGAGCGTTTCCGGATGAATGTTCATCGGCCAGACCGTAGTAGAAAGGAGTCCCGAGGGTAGGTGAGTACATGTCAACGTGGGCCGGGGGGTTCCTTCGACTTCGAGACAAAAGATGCGACGACGCTTATTCTCCCTAGACTTGCAGCAACAAGAAAATCATAGCATTGGCTCAACTTTACGGTGCACCCTTTAGACTGGCGAAGCCAGCCATGAATTCAGCTTAGGACCCTTCGGTTCTTCTTGACCAGTCAGGATAATCCGTGCAGTCCGCTTGCAGCAACTTGCAGTTTGCGTTCTGGAAAGTATTTTGCCAGCCCGAGAGCATCGATGTCGCACAGCTCGACTGCCCGGATTCATCTTGATTTGGTATCTCAGCTGCTGCCTTGCGATTGACTACATGACGAAGCCCATGGATCAGTGTTCATGACCAATAGCTTCTAGACTCGGGCAGTGCAGCTTTGTCAGTGACTCGCAGCTGCTGGAGCTTGCCGGCTGCTTTCTTGCTGAAAAGTGGCTGTTGCCGTTCAGGCCCTTGGCCCGTCTTCTCGTTCACCCTGTGCTCTAAGGTGAATCTGCTGCTCCCGGACCTCCTTCAACTGGAGGCAGCACTTGCAACGGTCCAAATGCAGCGTTGCCAAACTCTGGTGCAGGCTGTGGGCAAGCAGCCGAAGGTACCGTGCTTTCGGGTTTTCATAGATGCTGAAGACAGTACTCGAGTCTGAAAGGCGTTCGCACGCTCCTGGAACTTTCTCAGAGCACAGTATTTGCACTCAGTTCGCTATCCATTTGTCGCAGTGCCTACAGGTTGTTGTGGTAGGCTGGGACCTCAGCGACAAGGACAGAGCGAGCCGCAAAGGGTATGACACGGCCGGAGGGTCACCGACAGAAGGCTCGGCTGCCGTCCTGAGGTTCGAACATTTGCTACGCGCACGATGTCTTCGACTTCAGTGAGGTCGGGTTCTGAGCGTTTCGGCTTTGCTCAATCTTGAACGCTGCCAGCTGGTTTGCGCCGCCGACCCCCCGATGCGGGAAGTGTTTTTGGCGCGGTCCCACAGATTTGCAGCAGAGGAGAACCTACCATGAGGAAATGAAGTCGATGTTCCTCTGCAGCGCAGGCCAAGCCTTATTCCCTTTTTCGAGCTTACGGCCAGCAGCAGGCTCAGGCGATGCCGCTTCTCCCTTTTTTCCGCTGCCTTCGAGAAGGGGTCCATGTTCGGCCTTCCCATGGATGATGAACAGGAGCAGTTTGTTGGAAGACAAGACTGCCAAAGCACAAGGTCCAAGCTGGCGAACCTGATGATGTGCCGGCAGCTGGCGTGGCGCTTGCGCCAGCGTGGCAGCAGGAGCCGGTTGGGACTGTCCAGCGAGTGAGAAACGCCATGGAATCCTCGGTGCCCGAGGATTCTGGTGACTTATCTGCAACAAGACGTCGGATAAGACAAAGGAGCCCGGCATCTTACACGTCGACCTTGGCGTGGTGATTCGAGCGAGCCCGGAGTCAGGTGAACTGCGTGCATCCCGGTGAAGTTCTCACGCAGGTGCATCATCGTGAGCGCCGAGACAGACACGCTAAGCCTCCACACACCTCAGAGTAAGCTGGCTCCTTACAAGCAGGTTCTGCGCTACTGATCGCTCCTGCGAGGTGTTCAATGACTTCCACCCGGTGGTGCTCACGTGGCTTGCCCTAAGTGTCCAAGTTTGCCTCCGGCTCCCCTGCTGCTGCCATCCTTGTCTGAGGTTTCCCAACAAATTTACTAAATTCACAGCCGACACTTAGGTTGTATGCGGCACTGCGTCCTCTGGCGCAGCTGTTTTTCAAGACACCGGCCATGGGTGCAGCTTGAAACTCAGACATCCCAAGACGCACGTGAAAACGATAAGCTGTAAACATAATGCTACAGGAAGAATGCATTGACACCATGCTCATGATTCAGGATGATGGCAGCATGTGGCAGCTAAGCAGCTAAGCATCGAAGATAATGACAATATATCGGCAAAATAGGTGGATCATGAATTTGTTGGGTTTTAAAATTAGTTGAGCCGGGGTGGTCACGCGAGTCACGCCCGTTGTTTGCTGAACGATCCCGGAAGTGACAGATTTGCAAGACACATGTACTGCTGGACACTCTGCGCGATGCTTTGCGGTATGCTGGTGGGCATCCGTATGGCCGTACATACTGTCCTGACCTGCGCTCGGCGCAAGGTGAGGTTTCTTGCAACCTTCCCCTAGGAGCTGCTTAGGCACTGGTGTCGTGGAACGACTTTGTTGAAATGCTTCGTGTCGGCTCCCGATCCGAGCGCAATTTCTGTTGCGACTAGAACGGACTCGCGAAGGTACTTCACGGAGAGATGCAGGTCTTCCAGGGGGCCCAACGAATTTGTGGGGACTGCTAGTTGTCTGCAACGTCGGCAAGTAGACTTTGCCATGGGCATGAGTCATGAGCATGACGAACTGTTGATTGAAACAGCAGCGAAGCAGTCGTCTGGGTCTAAAGCGCTCTGCGACAAAGAGTGGAACAACATAATGCTCGTGCTGCATACGTAGGCAGACGTAGTCATTCGTATTCCAGCCTTCCCAAACGGTTCGTATCACATGTGCCACCGGGCAGTTCAGGTTTGCACCAGCTTCGTGGCCACCTCGCCCAGTGTCCAGGTTTCTGGAGAGCCGGGACCCTGCAACAGTTCATCTACAGCACGTGGCATTCACAATCTCAAACTCGACGATTGTCTCAACTCTGCTCGAGTTTTTCATGTCGGCGATTGGATTTAGAGTTGCGCTCATGTACCAAGAGCACTGTCGTGAACGGCAGGGACGTGTAACCTCATGACCGCCGAAGACATTGCAGAATCATGCTCATGTTAAGGTTGGGACGTGGTTTCGGAGCCTTAGGAAGTCTGATTTGATTTTCTCTTTGACCCGGTAGCTGCTGACTCTCCGCTGCTCACACTCTGCTCGCCAGAGTCTGTAAGCCTTTGCGAAACCTGCTGATCCCGTAGTCGCACACGTACTCGCACTAGTGGTGCGGCTTGACAAGGCATGCTTATGCTCTTGACTGCAGTTCAAGCTATCTTCCAGGGGGAGAGTAGCTGGGAGTGTGCTGGCAAAGGTACTTCATGAGATGCCGGATTGCCAAAGCCCCAGAGGCCAGCTGCTGCTGTCAGTCGCGTGTCAATGCGCAGCGACAGTCCAAATCACTCAGAATGGAGGGCTTGCAACTTGAACTGCACCTGGCACTGCACCTGCGGTGGGAGGCGTGTCGGCTCCACAGATAGGGAAACTGAAGGCACAGACCGCCAAGCGTCATGGCTGAGCCCGTGGACATGATGGTCATGGCCTGCAAAGACCCGTCTTGCGACTTCAAGCCTATGAAGATGAAGAGGCGCCCTCTCGGAGACGAGGACGTGCTGATCGACATGGTCTACTGTGGCCGGTCCGGTGAATGTCTTGAGAACTGGAGCATTCAGGGGTCTCCGATTCATTCTTCTCATTCTTTCGTGTTGCGTCTTCCACTGAGGTGGGGTTTGTCACACGGACTTGCACATCGCAGCGAACCATGTTGGAGGCCCGACCGTGAAGAATCACGTTGCAATGAGCTCCACCTGACACGCGTGGCAGGTCTGCAGGCGACTGTGTACCCATGCGTTCCCGGTCATGAACTAGTAGGTGTGTCCCTCGTCTGAAGACTTCATGAGGAGATTGGAGGTGTAAACACAATCTTCCAAAACATGTTCTGATACTCGGTAAGGGACCCCGAGATCGTTGTAGAAAATTGAAAACCCAATGACGGCAATGCAAGCTCTGTGTCGTAAGCTGCTTCCGTGAAAATGCGAGTGATAGCCTGCTGGGACAGCATCTTGTGGGACTTCGGGAAAGGGGTGTGAGTTCCGGCGAGGCGGACCGAATCGAAGCTCGCAGATTAAGTGAATTTGATAGGTCACGAGCAGGTCATGGAACCGCATTATTGCAGCACGAATCCATCGCCATGCTTTGGCATCCGTCAAAGCTTGGCAACTCTTTCTGGATCTCATGACTTGCTTATCTAAGAGAGCGAAAGAACGCATGTACTGGTTTGCACGAAAATGTACGAAAGCCCGGTCCTTGGCTGTGTGACGTTGACCAACCTTATCAGCCAAGGTGCACTAGAGTTGGATCCAAGGTGACCAAGATCAAGGTTGGCAACTGTGTCGGCGATTAGCCTTGCTAGGTTGCTTCAGTGTGATAACGGCACTGCCGGCAATGGGAGTGCCAGTGCTGGTAGTATTGGGCATCGGGGATAGGGCTGGTGATCGTTGTGGTCATTCTCGGCGTCGTCGTTGCTACATTTGTTAATCCAGGGTTTGGCAACACCAACATCTAGCTTAATTACAACCCAGCCGGATTTCCAAGGGCCCGACAACGGAGGGATCCCAATTAAAGAGAAGACGACAGTGGGAGGGAGCAATGTGTTATCTGGCAGCTCAAGCAAAACTTGCCTTCGCCCTGGCGGCTGTCGGTCACATTTGGGGTTCTTTCTTGCCATATCCATGATCAACATGGAAGTCTGCCCGCCCGTTCAGGTTGTAGAAACGACATATGCGCTCCCAATTAGGTGACCATGTGGGCGTCGGCTGCATGGTGGACTCTTGCATGAAGTGCACGGGGTGCAAGAAGGGCAATGAGAACCTGCTCCTCAGCTCGGTCTCATGCTATTTTTTCCTCGCTGACTGCGACAATGAGCTAACGCAGTATGCATACATCAAGAACACGCCGCATGCAGACTCGCATAGAGTGCTTGGGGACAGGTGCCGCAAGCAGAACACGGCCACATATCAGGGGAAGGACAGCTGTTCAAGCAAAAGCACGCAGATACAGATATGAGCTCCAGATGCACTTGTTGTCCCGCTGCAGCAAGCAGGGTAACTTCCGCTCCCTCCTTGCATCTGCATGTTCCCAGCCGCTGTTCGTTCATCTGCTGGGAAGCTGATACATTCAACGAGTCGGCCTTCGTCCTGATGGGTGTCTCCAAGAGCGTGGTGCAGGAGAGGTGCCTTGTGTGCCAAGCACTTGCCAGGACCTGCACGGCCGAGCTGCAACCTATCCAACTGGTGGAGTAACCATGGGAGGTTATTGCACCAAGATGGTGGTGCCGGCCCTGGTTTGGAAATTTTGCGGCTAATCCAACAATATCCAACACAGCCAAGCGCTCAGAGTGTACTAGAGCTTTCGACCAAGGTGCACGAGCACTTCGCAATCCTCATTCCCAAGAACTATCCATTGGCAAGTGCTGGTCCGGTGATGTGTGCAGGTGTCACCATGTACCTCTGGCATCCTACAACGGATAGCTCCGATCGGGCGACGCATGACTTAGTTGCCACGTACTGCAGCAGATGCAGTATCATCCGAGGTATGAGCCCTTGCGTTATTGGAAGGCTGGTCCGTCCAGCAAGGCTCGCACCAGCCAGGGTTTTGCTGATGTTAAGTGGGGTTCTTTCTTTTGACAAGTACGGCAGGGGCTGCAAGATCTGAGGTGGCAATTGTCGGCTTGGGAGGTTTGGGCATGACACTTGGATGCAAATGCTGCCAACACAGGCGTCAGCCATCAAGAATCAAGAAGTCAGCGACGTTCTTTGCTACAGTAGCAAACACCATGAACTCATGAGGAACATATCCAAAGTGCGATTTTCACAGTTGTTATGCGGGTCATGGTCATGCCTGCAACAGTTCTGAATCTTTCGTTCGGTATCTTACATCTTTATCATTCATCCCTCTGTGTCCTCATTCCGCATGTGTGGTCATAGTCTTACTGTCGGTGCTGTTCATGTGCATGTTTCCAGTGCCCAAGCCTCTTACTCGGTGAACATCGCATTATTGCGCAATCGTTGCATGTTCGTGGTGTGATATCCCCCCTGCTTCACGAGGTTTAGCAGCAGTGTCCTTGTGGCAAGTCTTGCAAGCTCACAGCCGTTAGGGGTCGCTTGAATTGCCAAGAGCCTGGCAGCTTAGGACTGGAATCAAAGTCGCCAAGGCGCATCCGATGTCCCATGTCACACAGCCCCACAAAGCGTTCCGAAACCTGGCTTGGGCGGTGTGATGCGGTGTGCTTGCTGGCCCGTCGGCTTCCATCTTCCCCGAGACGGTGTCATGCAGACACTGTTTGCCTTGTTCGTCGTGTTTGGTAGAGGGAGAAACGTACCCGTCGGTATGGGCTTTAGGCAACTTGTTTGATGCCGGGCCTCAAACGGTTGCAAACTCTGGGTACTCGGCCACGGGAAGATGTCCACGTGAAATCTCGTGGCAGGCCATGGGCTGCCAGGTCACGGCCATTTCTCGTGGCGAGAAGAAGAAAGCTTTGGCGGAGAAGAGTGGTGCAGATGGTGGCTTGATGCACAGAACCAGCGTTACACTTCGTACCAGCTGGTGACCGACCGTGTTTGTAACGGACATGGGATGGGCCTACATCTGTTCATGCAGTGGCCTGTGTTCTATCGGTAAGTGTCACTGCCTTTGTGCCATCACACATGGTCCAACTAGCTGCAACATCCGGGCAGAGCTGACATGAGACATGGCACAGAGGAGTGGCACAGCCCATGGAGTTCTCAGGATTCATCTCATCCACATCTCCGGAGCAGATGGAAGCGGCACGCCAATCTTTTGATTTGGTGCTGGACACCATACCAACCGAACATGTTTCTTGGCTAGGCAACAGCCAGTCCGTTGAGTCTTCCCTCGCGAGTGTAGCAGGGGTAGCAGGGGGGGCATCGGGCTTCGAATCATATTCTGTGCACGCGTACAGGTGGAGGGCAACTGCATTCACGTCCTTCAATTTCCTTTTTCGTACGAAACGAGTATCGACTGAACGACTATTCAAGGAAGCGCCAGAGGCGTTGTCACAGAGACCAGGAAGACCATCTGAACACAATTCATGGGGCTAGTCATGGGGACTCTAGCAGCTGGTTCATCTGATTCCGGAGTAGCACAACCCAGCTCTCAGCTGATGCGGCTTGTTCGGTCCAAGGACTACACGCAATACCAGAAGCTGGCTGCCGTTGACGGAAAGTGCGTGCCCAGCCTGCAAAGACTCGCAGGGAGCCCAGCCTACATCAAGTCTGGGAGCTGCCGCTCAGGTCTTGATCGGTATCTCCAACGCCTTCGGTGGCGCTATACTCGTAGATGCCATCACCGGCGGCAGATCCACAATGTCAGGCATGTTCAGATCATTCGAGCTTAACTAGCCATCCTTCAGCTCGCTTTTCCTATGAGGCTCCACAGTCTTGTCTTTGCTCCTTCTGGAAGTGCCCTTTTTCCCTGGCAGCCTCGATGATCGGCGGCGTCCAGTCCACGCAGGAAATCATCGACCTTTGCGCTAAGCATAACATTGTCTTGGATCACAAGAGCCCTGGTTGAAGAGAGCCAAACTACTGTTTGCAGGCAGCTCGTGTGTGGATTTGCAACAAGCCCGTATTTGTTTAAAGAACTACACATGCACATGGTAGATCAATATGTAACGTTGAGAAGCGACTTGCGGAAGCAACGTCTTTATGCTGCTGCATCGTGCCCATTCGCAAGGATTTGCCCAGTTTGGGAGCTGGGCAAGATCTACGAAGAGTTGGACTCTAGCAATGATCAGGGCCTGCGATATGTGCTGGACCTTCAGTGGATTGCTTGTTCGTGTTGTAGCCTGTGCCGGTACCAATGATGCAGAGCTCCTGGATGGCTTTTGGGTCTTGGGTCGGTTCGGATGTTAGTAATTAGCTGGGATACACACAGACAGACTTCGAGTGAAATGTGCTGCCTGTGAACCATCATTGCAGAGTGAGTCATATTGGCAATTGTCCCGTGTGTGACGCGCGAAACCCACAAGTTATAGAAAAAGATAGTGGAAGAGAGAGAGAGAGAGAGAGAGAGGGCAGAGACCAGTGCGCTCGCGAGCGCCGGGGGGGGGCAGACCTCTTCTTTGGCTGAGTTATGCTGAGTTGAACAAGAGAGAGAGAGAGAGAGAGAGAGAGACAGAGAGAGGCCGTAGCCATTTTGGCTCAAGGTGCCTTCCTCCTCGAGAAGTTCATCCGCGAGTACGTTTGCTCAGGGGGGGTGGAGTGGGGGTGAAGCACCCGGACTGTGTCCCCGGGCATGGATCGCCCAGCCACTTCTGTAAGTAGCCTAGAGC